TTGCAAATGTATTCCTAGAACTTTACACACAAATCTCTCAAAACAAAGTCAAACAAAAAAAAATATATATAAGCAAAATATGTTACAACATAAACTCAAACCCAAAACCAACTCCAAAACATTTGAGGCTTCAAAATTGACCTTTCTCTACCTCTGTAAACTCTTTAATCTTTCTGAAACTATGAACAGAGTCCCTCTGCTTGAAGGCCCTGCAGACACACCATTAAAAAAGATGGGTGCTTCAAATGTATCCTAGCACAAAATAATGGGAAATTGCTCTGAACTTTTTACTGAATTGGTATCTTCCTCTCTGGTTTTAGAGGGTTTTGCAACCCACCAAACTCTCAAGCTCTTATCAAGTCCTCCACTGTACAACATGAATCCGCCGCCGACGTTATTTGGTGCTGCCTGCAAGCACTTCACTGGTCCTTCATGGCCGCTAATTACCCCAACTTTACATAGCTTACCGAAAGCCTCTCTCTTCCATATGCCGATGCTCTTATCCGCCGAGCCGCTGCACAGCATCTCCCCCATCAAACACATCGACAAAACCGCCATCCCATGTGCTTTTGTTTCGCAAACCAGCTTCCAACTTACCACAAGTTTGTTTTGAACATCACCACCATTAGAATTGCTATTACTCGCTTCCCATCCCATCACAAACCCGTCGGAGCCACCTCCATAAACCCATCTCCCATCCTCTGAAACGATCACGGAGTTAAGCGAAACATCCTTGTGCCCCTCCAGAATACCCTTCAAGCAATGTGTGCTCTTCTTCTTCCCCTCTTTTCCCCAAGCTTTGATTTTCCCATCTGCAGAAGCAGAATACACAGTCCCTTTACTTGCCACCAACCCGTTGATTGCGTCGTCGTGAGCCTTAATCGACTCAACGCACTTCAAATCCGAGATTCTCCACACCTTCAGAGTCTTGTCCCATGAACCAGAGTAAATCAACTCGTTATGGAAAGCCAAACACGATATACTATCAGCGTGTTCGATCCACAATCGCTTGTGATGTCTCCGAGTTTGGACATAATTACTCTGCTTCATGAACTTACCCAAATAGTCTTTCGTTGTTGGAAGCGTGTCGACAAGCCTAAAGACATTCTCCGACCTCCGCGAAACCTTCCAAACCCTGATCCGGCTGTCCTGGTGCGCTGTAAACACCTTGTTCCCGACAGCAACAACCGCCTTGACGCTGCCATCGCCTTGTCCAAATTTCGTGAAAGGCCTTAAATCCGGCTGTTGCCAGACTATGATGTCTTTGCCTTGTGAGGCGCTGAGGATGAATTCACCGCACAAGGCCAAGCACGAAACCGAGCCTACATGTCCGGGGAGCACCGCCAACGATCGATACGAGAAGGACCTGGATAAGGGTACGCAGGGGAATTGATACTTGACATGATCTTGGAGCGAAAAGCGGCCTGAATCCGGCGGGCTGTCATCGGCCTCGCTGCTGGTGCTGCTGCTGGTGCTTGTTGCTAATGCAGAGAGCAAGGGAGTTGTTGAGAGACGTTTGTTTTCTAACAGAGTGGAATTCATTGGATGAAACATGGTCAGAGAGAGAGAGAGAGAGAGAGAGAGAGAGAGAGAGAGAAGGAAAGGAGCGGATTAGGGGACACGGATTTCTTGGTGGAAAGATTAGGGACATGTACATATTTAAATGGGAAGAGAGGGGGAGGTGCAACGGCTACTTTGACATGTAGGGAGGAAAATTAATTTTAATCATGAAAACTAAAAGTAGGTTGCCATGGACATGGAGGGGACCATTCAAAACGCAGACTATACCCTTTCCTTTTTTATTGGGAGACTCGTTTAAAAGTGAGATTTTTTATGGAATTCTCGTCATTTCATGTTTTTTGTTTAATTTTTTCATGCCAACATTATAAAATTGTGACAAAAATATGAGTTGACGGAGAATCTATACAGAGTTCCATTTTGAAAGAGTCTCCTCATCATTTCTATCAGTCAAAATAAAATAAAAAAGAAAAAAAGAAAAAAAAGAGACTTGGTTGTAGAGCTTTTATTTGTTTATTTAATTATTTATAAATTTTATTGTGTTTAGAGGGTTGTTTGTTGAACAATCATGGCATATTCTAAAATAATGTGTCCCTAACCCCTAAGCCAAGGAAAAAGAAAGGAAATTAAATATTTTCTCATGCCGCATGACGCAAGAAACAACTTAGAGAGGAAAAAAGAAAGAAAAGATCTCTCATGGCGCTGCTCATGGGAAAGGGATATTTGCTTAGTTTTGGACTCCATTTTTAACTTATGACATTATTACGTACTTCCGACACTATCACTATTCAGACCACCAGGCTCATTTGATCAATGTAAATCACAGTTTTGGAGCTTTTTTTTAATAGTTTGAGTAGTTTGGTACCTCGACTGCTTCGTTAGTTGGACCCGTACTTTGTCAAATATCCTCCAATGGTCTCATTTGATCAATGTAAATCACAGTTTTGGAGCTTTTTTTAATAATTTGAGTAGTTTAGTACCTCGACTGCTTCATTAGTTGGACCCCTGCTTTGTCAATTGTCCTCCAATGTCTGCTAGATTTGCCAACAAAAACTTACGTACTTGATATCTGACACATTACCCGTCAAAGCTGGGAAAGTTGATGGCTTTGTTTCCACCATAAGCCACTATTTTATTTGTTTTTTGTTTTTTAAGTAAATCGATATTTTTACATTAAGAAGAAGAAGAGTTCGGTCAAGCCATATAATAGACATCTTAATTTGATGTCGAATTCGCCATCTATGAGATTTAAACCTAAGACCTCTCATTTCCAATTGAAGAGAATATCACCAGACAGTAATACTGAATGACTTTAAATTTATCTGTCTTAGACCATCTCCAACCCTTGGGTATTATATTATTAGTTTATTGTATTAAAAAAAAAAAGTAAATACGAGTTTCGTTTTTCAGATGTCATGATGATTAAAGATTCGTTTGTAAGTACTTTTAAAAGGTTGAAAGCGTTTTTATTAAAAAAAAAAAAAAAAATGTCCGTGGATTTCAAAAAGCACTTAAAGTACTTTTTGCAAGAAGTATTAGGGATGTGCTCCTTTTAGGAAGCACCAGTTATATGCTTATTGTAGGAAGTACTTCAAATGTTTTTTCATGATTTACTTATATTTTTACAAAAGATTAGTTCCAAAATATTTTCACAAATAACGGTTTTAGCTATTTTAAAAATAGTTTCAAACGAACCCTAAGAATTTGAAATGAGAGTTGAATTTAAAACACCAAAAACACGTTCATTTACTGCTCTATCGTTGATATCAAATTTAAAGGTCACTAGTCACCAGATGACCAAGAGAACATTCTGATGCAATGATGATACGACAAAAAGAATGAAAACATAAGCGTGAGGTGTATGATTGTTGCAAGTGATTTGGTTAAGCTCTAAAGCACTAGAGTATCATTATCTTACATGAATCACATGAATCACATTAATTCACAGCCAATTAACAACTTAATTTTGATTACTTAATTGTTTTCTTCTCCGACTAAGTGGAAATTACACAAAAAAGAGAGACAAAGCAAGATTAGGAGGCTAGAAACATGCATTTTCAACCTAAAGCTTTTGGTCTAAGTATATTAAGTTAAATGCAAAGCTTTATTAGCCGTTAGGTTTAATATATTGGACCACCACCCAGCTCTGATGATTGACCCTAATATATACCCAAAATATTACTACTTTTTCATTGCCCAAATATTAAACGCTTTCATATAAAATGGTCGGTTCAAGCTCTTACCTTTTGATTTATAATAACATGAACATGTCAATTGAATTTGGATACTTTATAGACTTTAGTGTCCAGAGCTTAAGAAATTTCGGTCTCTTAGTTTGTGTGAAAAAAAAATCAAAACTCTTAGTTTATGTAAAGTATGCTAGCAAAATAAGTTAATGAAGATCAACAGATTGAATTTGAATAGTCTGAATTGTTAGATCCTAAAACTCTAGACAGTGTGATGTCAATGTCAATTTAAAAGCGCTCTCTCTCTCACAAAGCAAAAGCATAATTAACGTTTAGAAGTTTCACATGGAACAATGTGTTTCCCAAGAAATTGGGGGAGAAGTCACCAGGAAAAGGTACGATTAAAAAACATGAAAGAAAAGAGAGAGGCAAAAAGTGTGTATAATTATAATAATATGAACAAACATAAATAGCCGAATGATTATGTTGGGAAGGTAGTTTTGTTTAAGGTTCAATGAGTACTCATAAACTATTCAGAAAGTTAGGCAGCCACTCTTAACATACACAATATTAAGCAAATAGAAGTATCATCGAACCTACCATGTAACATGTATTAAGGTGCAATACAAAGCAAACATTGTAGAGAATTAACTCGGATTATCAGAATTTAAAGGCAGCTTCTTATTGTTGAATATCTTCAGGCGTGCTAGTACGAGTTATTCTATATATTTCTAATCATTAGGTTGCATTAATGAATGGTATTATGTGTAATTCACGTAGCTTTAATTTTGCTTATACTGGTAAAATTCATTAAAGGCTAGTTTAGGGTTGCTGTGCCATGAAAAAAAAAAACACGTTTCCAAATGCAAGGTGGAACTACTTCTGCTTTATGCTGTTTTGAATCCATGATTTTGACAAAAAACACTTCTTCTTCTTTTTTTTTCATTCACCTAACACAATTTTAGCCCCAGTTTTTTTATTTTTTATTTTTTATTTTTTTTTAAAAAGCTGATTTTAAAATAATTTCAGCAATGCAAAATCGACCCTAAACCTTGGTTAATATTCCAAACCTTAATAGGATTTCCTAGCAATCCGTTGGTAATAATCACTTTGTATCAGTGCTTAATCACTCGTACTAGTATTAATCATCTCATTGGCTCGCTAATTATAACCTAATAGATCGCTAATTCGTTTTGAGGACGAGGATAGTGACATTATGGCGAAAAGTTCTACATAAATCCTTACTCATATATGTAAATAAGATGGACAACATTGTTAGCTAGTCTGCTGAACATGTGATTAAATGTGTTTGTGTATCAACTGGATTCAATGGCCATGAGGAAAATAATTGAACAATGGTTTAACAGATTATGGTAATATCATGCAAATAACGAAGACAAATCGTTGTTAATCTCGTTTAAAGTAAAACATTACGTGACATTCCGCATACTCTTCTCTGTTTTCTGCGTTCGATCATCTGTACGACCATTGGTTTTGTAATATGGAAGCTGCAGTCAAAACTTTTCTTGTATCCGCTTTCAGAAACTGAAAAACAATGACACCCGTCAAATTTGCGATTGCGAACAACCTTTCACAGAAACTGTTTGTGTCTTCGAACAAGTGAAGAAAACTAAAGGAAATGAGTGCAGACTAGAAATATACCTAAGGGAATACGCAGGTGATGCCCCTGAGGAGAAGCATCTGCAATCAAGACAAACACACTTCTGTGTTGAATCGAGATCAAGAAACAAATGCCAGCACACCGAGGCTTCTGAAGGCATAGAGCGAAAATAACCCTGAGAATGAGTAACCCTGATCAGTGAACAGCGATCACAAAATTATAGGGAGACTTGACATTAACTAATAACAAACTTTGACATATATGAGCCTACAGAGTTTTGCAGTTGTGTATTTACCGTTTACAGTTTTGGTTTACTATAAATTCTCCGTCGATGTTGACTAAAATAGAAATCAATCAATCTAAGGTGAAACCAGTATCACACAAATACAAGTGCAGGAATTTTGAATTACTACATGGGAAAAGAAATCCGGAAGATTGCGAACGGAAATTTTGGTAATCCTAGGTTGAGAACTACATCGAACTCTGTCCAATCGCTAGCATGTATGCAAACTTTTCCCTCACCCAACTATATAGAGGTACCAGGTTTGAACGCCCTAAGAAAAATTGACAAGTGCATGATGTGGATGATTTCTGATGCATGTTGTTCGGTAAGGGAAAAAAGAACTTGTTTCTTGTAGTAAAAACCAGATACACATTCTTTTGCCAACGATACTAGCAATGACAACAAGAGCATAAGAGAATTGCGACTACACATCCTCTTCCACAATAGTAGCTGAACTTCTTGCCAGCAATAACGGAACCACAGTCAAACATAATTAACAGAACAAACATCCGGATAAAGTTTAGCAGTTAGAGGGGTAAGTAAAAACATCCGAATATTTCTCCTGAATTTTCTTTACCAACTTAGGTGGCAAATGATATTCACCAGCACCATTGCATCAAAACACTTAGTAATTTGTACACTCCAATGTCAGAATTCCTCCTAAGTTGGGAAGATAAAGTTGAAAGAAAAGTTCGATTGTCTAGCAATATCCTTTTTTCCAACATTGAATTAGGTATCTGCTAAAGTTCCAACATGGGCATACCTAAGAAACACTAGAAAGACACGACAATGAATTTGTTCCATGTACAGGGAAACGGCCATTAAAGGAAACAAGTATATATCAGTGCATACAAATAGACCAAAAAAGTCACATTAAAGTTTAAACAACCTGGAGTAAAAGTTTCTCCTCAGTGTCCTAGTCAAGAATGCAGAAGTCTTCTAGGGTAATAGGGAAATGCCAGTTAGTCCTCTACAAGATTCCCAAGTGCTAAAAGAAAACATGAAGCATAACAGTATTACAGTGTCCTAGTATAATCTTGGTCCCATCTATCTGTGGTCGAATTACTCTGACGAGTGATCAACAGCAATTTTTTAGGTTGGTGTTCTGTTTAGCATGTTTTCTTAACATCACGAGAAACAAAAATTCATAAACCAAATTATACTTACATCAGAATACTTGGTAATCCATCTGAACATTAAGATATGTTTTGGAAATTATGGCTCACATGGTTAAATCCTCTTTCTTTTTAAGTTCTTGCCTTATTTAAAGACATTTTATGGGTGTAAGAAAAACATGAAATGTATACGGACCTCTAAAATAAGAACTAGAATTCCTAACCGTTAAAATTAAACCTGATCAAAATTGAAAATAAGATAAAGAACCAAGATTTTTCGATGATGAATCCTGTGTACAGCAGACTTCCTCTAAGAAGTAGTAAGCATATGTGAGGCATAGGATAAACAACTAACAGTTTGTTCATGTTATAGTCATTGAATTTCAAGCAAAGCAACATAATAAATAATTTTAAATTTGGATTGACACATAAAGGAACATAAACAAGTGACAAATTAATATCCGAAGGAACAACTCACAACTAAAAATGAGGAAGTAGTTGACAGGAACATAGCATTAATGGACTGAAGGATGAAGTTAAATCCACTAGTAATTAAACATCAGGTAGTTATAGATTGCATAAATAGTTGAAAGTGAATAAGTGACAAGAACTAACAATTTTCAGATTCCCTACTAATATTGAACCATTCATAAACTTCAAAAATCGTATTAGTGCAAGAAGTACCTGAGAGAGAGTCGATCAGTTTATGAAATCGAGCCCATCAACGGTTACACGAGTGATGTGAGAAATCTTGAGCCAATCTTCCCCTATCTCTTTCTGGCACCTTTGTGTCAGCAAAGGACATTTATTGATATCCAAATGAGAAAGAGAAGTGGGAAGGCCTTCTGGCAAGCATTCGAGCTCATTACACTCATCAATGAACAAATGTTGAAGAGCGGTGAGGTTTTGAAAACCCTTAGAGTCCAGGATCTTAAGATTTGGACTATTGAAGATGCAGAGAGTAGTCAAAATGGTAGGCAGAAGCCCCTCCTCCGGAAATGATACAACGTCTTCACATTCGTCAAAGCTGAAAGCCAAGTATCTGAGACAGATGAGCCTATCCAGACCCCAGTGCATGCGGTTGGCAATGAGTTTTTTGGATCCAAAGATACGCAGCATATCCAAATTTGAAGGCAGTCCCCCTTCAGGAAATGACTCTAGTTCAGAACAATACTCTAGGATTACAGCCTGAAGAGATGAGAGACTAGTGCACATATGTTCTGGCAACGACCTCAATTTATCGCATTCAGATATATTAAGCACTATCAAGTTGGGGGCGTACAGTCCTCCATTGGGAAAAGATACAAAATTTGGGCAATTAAATATTCTCAAGGAACTGAGGGACAGGATTGTAGGGCTTTCAGAATCCTGGGAATAAGTAAGGGATTCCAGATTCCTACAGTCATATAATTTGAGCTCCTTAACCTTTGGGAAGTAGTCCAGCAGGATAGACTTGGTTGAATCACAGCTACTCTTTATCTTCAATGTTTGAAGGAATGCATAGCAGTGATTTAATGGAGATAAGTTCCAACAATTTTTTATTTTAAGAACTCTTAAAGCATTGGCCAGACCGTCACAAGGAAATGGAGTAAGAGATGAGTTAATACCGCTAGTTTTCTCTTCAAGACAAAGGTTGTCTTTCACAGAAGGAATCTCCAAAATGGCCCCAGTTCTTGGAAGTGAACCCAGAAGTTGCTCGCATCTCCTTATCTCAAGTGTAGTCAAGGATGGAAGATACTCAGGTAATTTCTCTGTTAGCTTGGGACAATTTGTCAGATAGAGCTGACAAAGATGAGGAAAAGCTCCACCTTCTTGGCTACTTCCGAAATGAGACCACTCTTGCCACCCCAACATATCTCTGAAGAATAAAACTGATAGAGATCTAAATGGCATAACAATATTACCATAAAACTCAGGCCCTATCGTCTCTACTTCATTTAACCCACAAACATAAAGCGTGACAAGGGAGGGTAGCTGCCCCAGTGGTGGCAAGGAGCAACAATGTTTACAATCTTCGAGTTGAAGAGAAACCAAATTAGAAAAAGAATGATCCCCTAACCAATCCGGAAATCTTGTACCCCCATAAAACTTAAGACTCAGGGCTTTCAGGTGTAGTATGAGGCTGGAGATTATTAAGCACCTCTCTATCTTTTTGTGAATCATCGGTCTCAGCTCCCCATATCAAAGCTAGTCCGTCAAGGTGCTTATTTCTCATATTGGCTACAAAAGCATCCTCAGAAGTCACAATATTATGAAGCCCTGAAATAGCAAGTGTACCTACTAACTGAAGCTCTTTCAACACTACAATGCTAGGTGCAGCTTGTTTGCCAACAACAAAGTCACTCAATGTGTGGAGATCCTTCAACTTATCCATATGTGGTGGCATCTCTTTTAGATTGGTGCTTCTAACATCAAGATGGCGCAAGTTGATGAGTCTCCCCAAGTTGATCGGCAACTGAGCAAGTTCATCACAATTGAACAAGAGCAACGTTTGTAGATTATACAAAGTACATATCGTTTCAGGTAACTTTTCAAATCTACTGTATGACAAGTCTATATACCTTAGGTGTTTCAAATTGCCAATCCAATAAGGCAACTCCTTGTTGTTACAATGAGATAAAGAGAGCACTCTCAAACAATACAGTGTTCGTAAGAGATCATGAGGTACCTTGTTGAAACAGAAAATATTCCATAATGGTCCAGGTTTTATTGCTAGGAAGGTGCGCAAATACTTGGCTTCGCATAAAGCTTCAAATTTATCAAAACCAGAAATCTCCTCCTTTGCAGTCGCATGAACACCTACACCAAGTCCTTCGAGAAAGGGGCTATTCTGAGTGTATGAGAAATGACGAGTCTTGCTTGAAACATTATTGAATGAGTCACTATCATCCAACCTAAAACAAAATTCTCTTGATACAAACTTTGCTAAATCATTGATAAGGTCGTGCATGGTAAAAAGTGATTGGTCATCACCTGAATGCTGAAAAAATGACCTCGATATTAAATCATCAAAGTACATCACTCCAACGTCTTCCATCATTTTCTTTCTTTGGGGTGACAAAAAACCTTCAGCCATCCACAACAAAACTAATTCTGATTTTCCGAATTTGTAACCTTTGGGGAAAATCGAACAATAGGAGAAACATCGTTTTAGATGAGAAGGAAGATGATGATAACTTAATCTCAAAGCTGGAAGAATAGTATACTCATCTTGCAAGTCCCATATTTCACTCTTCAATATTTCATCCCACTCCTCGTAACTTTGTTTACAGCGCAACAAACCCCCAAGAGACTTTGCAGCTAATGGAAGACCTTTACACTTCTTAATTATTCCGCTACTGATTTCTTCTAGAGTTGGATGCACAGCTGAGTTTATCCTGCCGAAGGCATGCTTGGAAAATAACAACCCGCAATCTTTTTCAGATATTTGGTTTAGATGGTAAGCTGTGACAGTACCCATCATTGATGCAACACGTTGGTTACGTGTAGTCACAATGATCTTACTTCCGTGTGCGACAGACTCAAAAGAACACCGCAATGCATCCCAGTGAATATAATTCTCGTTCCACACATCATCATGAACAAAGAAACATTTCTTTCCCGTCAAAGCCTCCTTGAGTTTAACTTGAAGTAGATTCAAGTCCGTGATACTACAAGTTTGTGAAATGACTGACCCATAAATAATTTGAGTTATTCTAACAACATCAAATTCTTCTGAAACATAAACCCATGCCTGCAAGTCAAAATGTTGCTTCACTCTAGCATCGTTGTATACAAGCTGCGAAAGGGTGGTCTTTCCGATGCCACCCATTCCCACAACCGGAATCACACTCAACTTATTGCCATTCGCATCATCGGATAGCAATAGCTTCACAATGGCCTCCTTGTCCTCATCCCTACCGTACACACCGTCCTCTTCCACCAAAGAAGTGGCAGATAATCTTGATTGTGGTCGCCGATTGGGAACACCCTCGTTCAAACCAAGCACATCTTTCTCATTTACAATAAATTCTAACCTCCCAAGCATTTCAACAATCTTGGGTTCCATTGTTTTGTCAAATTCGTCAATCCAAGTGGAACTGGAGATCCCTACCTGACTTTTGCTGCTGCTGCTTTCGGATTCATCGCCTTCGAGCTTTCGCCGCAGAGCTTCAGTCTTGATCTCATCCAGCAGGTCGTCTGCAGCATAAAGAGCATCTTTGAGTTCGTCGAGCCACTCCCTCACAGCTGGGTTGTTGAATTGCTTCTCCTCCGCGTCATTGAGCACAGAATTAACTGAAAGCAGCTTAATCCTCAACTTCCTGAGCAGTCCGCTGGTGATCTTCTGTCCGCGGATGAAGTCGACGACGGGACGGGAGGCCAGCCTATCAAACAAGACGGAGAGAAAGGAAGAGAGAAGAGCGCCGCCCACAACGTCCATCGCCATGGATTTCAATCTTCCGATGGATGGGAAGTTGAAAGATTGAGAAGAAAATGGATTCCGAATTTCTCAGAGAATGAAGAATAACTCAGCGCTGTTGCAAAGCTTTTTGTTTTTCAAATGTTGACTTGACTCGGCGGGGTGAAAGCATGCTTCCTTGAGAAATTTTTAGTTGTGACATCATGTGTTTTTGTTTTTATACTGATGAGAAATTTTATATTTTAAATTATTAATTTTTTAACATACATAATTTATATAACGATATATGGTATATCATTTTGTGTGAAATCACACTAAAAAAATTTTAATCGTTCTTTTTTTTTTGAACGGAACCTTTGGGTAGGAATATTTTTAACTTTTATTTTGATATTTCAAAATTAATTCAGATTGAATCACAATTTTGAAATTGAAAATTTTAAGAATCTTCTTAATCGAAGTAGTCTCGAATATTTTAAAATATAGTTTAAAAATTCATAAATTTTATGGGTTTTTTAATACTCTCGAACTTTTTTGGTACATAAAATATAATATTTTTTTTAATAATATACTTACATGTAAATTCAATTAACTTTTTGGTACAAATAATTTTTACTACGGTATAGTGGTATTCTTCTTGTAAGTGAGATATCTTATATTCATTCTCTCTAAAGGTGAATTTGGACCACATTATTGCTAGTCTATTGAGAGTTTAAGCACACCTCCTTCCATTAATGTAAATAATATTGTTTGTTAAAAAAAAAAAAATTGGTATACTAGTGTGCTTATCCTATTTAATATATATATATATATATGTGTGTGTGTGTGTGTGTGTGTATGTATATATGTTTAAATTGTTACAATGAACATAAGGTATCCAACACTAACAATAAAATACTATGTTGATTACAAAATACATAATTTGAGTAAATAACTATAAAAAAATCAAAATATTTCAAAAAAAAAAAATTATTGAAATAAGTTCAGAATTTTCGGAATCTCTAAATGCATTTTAATTTTCATAACAATTTTTCAAACACTATTCGAATTCGAAATTTTTGAGTTTGGATTCGAAAACTTAACTATTACTATTAGAATTAGAAATACCATTCCAACTTGCACGGCTAGTTGCTACACTTATAATATTTTAAGGGTTTTTCTATTAGCATCCCCAAATACTATTGAATGCACCTCTCATAAAATATTACTTATACACTTTAATGCAAAAAGACTATTTAGACCCCATAAGATTATGAATACACCTCAAAATCATTTTTAGTGTATATTATTTTCTTCCAGCTCTCGAAGCCACTTCTCACCTGCTATTGGAGTCAATGATACAATTCATTGCAATGTCATTTATCACATATCAATTTGTGTTTATAATATTTCATTCGATTGGCTAAAATCTCTTCAGAGAAAATTGAACAGGTTTACTTCTGATATGGTGGAGTTTGCTGTTGCCTATTGGGCATATACAGAAAACAAATATTGAAAACCTCATGAAGCAACTTATGACAACTTGTCCTATTCCTCACATTATTTCTCCTTACTCTAGCCAATAGAAGTAATAGTCTTCAATGTGATGGCTTGATTATGAATTGATGATGGACACTTCGAAATTCTCTTGAACAACCTTTTGAATTCACTTGCTAAGATTGCAAAGGCTTTATCTATTTTTTGCAGAACTTGGTTTGCATGCTTTTGATCCAATTTCTTCAAATACGAAATTTAAAATCCCTAATTGATAGAAAACTAAACACTCAATTGACATAAACCCAGATGTTGGCAAAGAGTTTGAGCGTTAGGTGTCTTATTATTGTGTATGTTGGGTGTGAGGGTAGTATTGAAAAAAATGTGGGGTGTATTAAGATAAATTTTAGTTCAAAAAGTAAAAGTGGGGTTTATTAAGTATTTGGGATGTAGTCAACAAAATATGGGTGTGAATAAAACAACCCTATTTTAATTTTTTTTCGTATGAACAAGAAAAGAACCTTGACATCCCACATCGCCCAAGGGAGTGATCCTTATATGTATATTCCCATCCCTACCTAGCACGAGGCCTTTTGGGAGCTCACTGGCTTCGGGTTCTGTTTGGAACTCCAAAGTTAAGTGAGAATGGGGCTAGAGCAATCCCATGATGGGTGACCCACTGGGAAGTTGCTCGTGAGTTCCCAAAAACAAAATCGTGAGGGAATGGTAAGCCCAAAGCGGACAATGTCGTGCTACGGTGGTGGAGTGGGCCCGGGAAGTGATCCGCCTCGGGGCGGGATGTGACAATTTGGTATCAGAGCCTAACCATGGCCGTGGTGTGCCGACAAGGACGTCGGGCCCCTAAGGGGGGTGGATTGTGACATCCCACATCGCCCAGGGGAGTGATCCTTATATGTATATTCTCATCCCTACCTAGCACGAGGCCTTTTGGGAGCTCATTGGCTTCGGATTCCATAGGAACTCCGAAGTTAAGCGAGTAGCGTGCGAGAGCAATCCCATGATGTTAAATTTCATTTTATTTTATGTTAGTAAATAATATTGAACTCGTCATTCACAAGAATAGAATCTAAGAACTCTCAATTATTATTGAAGAAGAATACTACACTAGATTATTGGTACTAAGTGTTGGACAATAGAATCTCACATCGGACATATGGCAAAATAATATACAACTTATATATTGGAGATTCCATCCCTAATAGTTGGGACAATATTGGCGATGTTGGTGATAGAACATGCAAAGCCTAAAAAAGTTTATCATGGAATGAGAGCAAACTATTTTTTCAACACAAGTTGAACCTGAGTTACTGTGCTCAAATCTGCTTCTTTAAGTTGGACTTTTGAAAAGTTGCACTAGCTCCATTAAGAATATTGACTGAACAATTGAGCCTTCGAAAAAATTAGTGTTGACTCCAGTGATTGAATACCGATCGATCAAGATGACTTGGCCATCGAAAAGCTTGGCGTTGGCTCTCTTTCGTTAATGACCGGATGACATTGTCTGCGAATTCATGCACTCCTATATTATGGACATCTGAATAAGCTTCCTCTCTGCGCCCAATTTGAAGTACGTTATGGCCTTCCACACGCACATGGGGCCACAAAAGCGTATCAACGTTCCTTCTGTCGCCTCCTCAAAGCCTAAGCAAATGGTATTTTGGGTACACCTGGCTGCAAGCAACCGGGATCGACCACAAATGTGATCATGCAAACATTGTCAAAAGTCAACCTCATAAGAACGTCTTGGAGGTCGATTGGGGCCAAGTGTTTGATGGAGTCCTCTAAAACAGGTAACAGCCGAGCGTGAACCAGCTCAAACAATGAATCCACTGTCAGTTTCTGGAACTTGGCTGAGTGGAACTGAAAGCTAGCCGTCTTCCTTTGGCGCTGCCACTTATCGCTGTCTGTGCTGAATATGCCATCCCCGAGAAGATCTCAAACGGTGTCTTCGAAATAAGGGCCTTTGAAAAAATTGGAGAACTTGGACTTGACGGTACTCCAAGTTAGGAGGGTCGCAAGTGATGGCGCCAAAGAGGCTGCTACACCAAGGCCCTTTGAATCTAATCATTCCATTTTGGTGGCAAAGAACTTCGGAGAGTAACTCGTATGGCTTAGTTTGGAGTAGTGCCAGAGACCGAGAGAGGAACATGCCAAACACGGGCCAAACAGGCAAGCCATGGTGCTTTTTTTGCCTCAAGGAGTTTATGATGACAAAGACCCAAACAGCGAGAAAGAGCCCCAAGATTGGGACACGGTGGAGGAAAAAACCTTGCTGCAGCAGCAACAGAAGTCTTGGAGGAGGAGGAGGAGGACATGAGAGCTGAGGTTATTGGTAGGAGGAGTAGTGATCGGGGTGTGATACATAGTTGTATCGGAGATTTTTAGATTTAAGAGTTGCCATTAATCTTATTGAATGATTCCGAAAAAGGAAGAGATCATTGTTTAAGTACATTATCTGTAGATGTTTAAACTATCTTTTATCTTAGATGACAATATTTTTGCAATACATTAACCTTATAATCTGTACTAAAAATACTAAGTGACATTTCGAAACAACTTTCTCCGGACATGATGACCTGGCACTCTCCTCTTCATCTTGTTCAACTTATATACATTGGGCATAAATCTTCCTATTAAATGACCTTGCTATTTTGTAATGTGGAATCTGTCTTCAACCTTTCTTGTATCTGCATTCACAAGCTGGAAACATGAAAGCAATTTAGTGAACATACAAGTCTGCCACAGTGAGATTTGTTCAAAGTTTCAGTCTCAAACTTGCATATTTACTGACCTCTAATTTCATCTCTTTCTTTGTCGCATGTCCTCTTAGATAACCAAATTCAGAAATCTTGGATAAACTCCAAGGATTATTAACCTGTTTGATCAGATTCCAATTCCATGTAAAGAGTGGTACAAAAATCCTGTGTGTGTGTAAGCAGAGAGAGAGAGAGAGAGAGAGAGAGAGAGAGAGAGAGAGAGAGAGAGAGACTTACACCACTTGAGAACCCGTCCAAGGTAAAGCCAGCCATACCAATTACAGCGTGCACTGGGGCACTGTAGTTGCTATGATCATATGTGTCAATCCCATTTTCATCTTTTTGAGGCAATCCTTTGCATTCACTCTTATAAACCGCACAAGTTCGCTCGTAGTTATGAACATGACCAAATAGGACTAAATCAACCTTCAGTTCAAATTTCCAACAGGCAATGTATGTCAGAATGGAACTAACTAGCTGGAAATATATAATCAATAACAAGCTGGTGAAGGGATGTTACTTTGCTCTCGAGCAGTAATGGTTCCACTTCGTCGACAAATATTTTATCAACATTGAGGAATCCAGGTGAGGAGGAATACATGGGTCTATGCCTGCAGTTTAAAAAGTTACATGCATTATATTTACTACAACATAAAAAGAGTGAAAGAGAGAGTTAATTACTGGAACACTTGATTTTCGAATGTGTACGTTAAAATTAGTAGACTACAAAACAACATAAACTTGAAGGTCTCTTAGTTAACTTACCCCATAAAAATCAACCAAGGAGTTTTCGATCGATCAACTGAAGCCATGTCCTTTCTCATCCATTGATACTATAATATATAGTGCGTAAGATAAAAGGATTGAATAAGCTGAGAGTATAGTTGCTTGAATTAATGATACGATTAAGCAAATGCAGAAGTGCTGATTCATCTTTACCTGCTCGGAATTTGTGGACCAGTCATGCTCTGTTGAAATCACCGTAATGTGAACACTTGCTTGTTCTATGGAATACCATGGCTTATCCTTTGCTGAGGTTGGCATAGGAAAGTAAGTCTCATAAGGAACTCCAGATTCTCCACCTGAGTCTGGTAAAATATAAACTGATCCAGTGTCTATATAGTCCCTGCAAATTATACGTATAACGCATACACGTTATGAATCCCACATAGCAAAGCAAAACATGGGAACCAGTTTGGTCATTTACATTTAAAAAAAAAATGGCGAAATCAACAATACTGTAAGTCTGTAACAACAATATTGGTCCCTAAGTCCTCCTGATTATCAAGTTATTGGCTATACTTTCTCCTCACATAAACCCTAGAGTAATGCTATGTGAGCATTTTTCATCTCTCCTTACATTCAAAAGGTTATGAAGTATTTATTTAAAAAAGAAAATCATAGTTTTTGTCCATATGGAATCCGTTAAAAACTCAAAACAGTAAGGGTGCAACGTGTACTTAATGGAAACTTTAATAAAGGGCAAGATGTTACGTTTGTAGCCAGGGAATCTCAACCAAAAAAAAAGTGAGTCGTTTGTTTGAATGTGTGCGCTGGATTGAGAGTTTGACAACAAAGCATGCCAAATATCTAGTGAGGTAACATTAACCGAGTTAATGAAATCGTCTCCAGTATCCGTAGCGTATAAAAAATATTGGCAAAAATAAAAGTGCATACCTCTCATGGTTTCCTATTGCTGTCATGTAAGAAACTCGAGAAGCGACCGGACTGATTTGTTGAAGGAAAAGATCCCATTCAACTAAAAATCCTGTGGCATAGCTAATGTCTCCAATGTGGAAGATAGAGTCTACATTCCCGGAATTTATTTCACTGGCCACGGCTTGAATCACTGAAAGAGATCCTGGCTATATATATATTCATGCAACAAGATTGAAATTGTCGTTAGCCTTTACTTTTCCTTCAAGGTACAAACATGTGCCAGAAACTTGAGTAATTGGCAGAAACTAATGCATCGATCATACCTGAATGTAATGCATCGTTGAAGAATCCCGAGGAGCCTTTCCCATGTCGCCAAATGCAAGAAATTTGAGTTCATCAGATCCTCCTGCTGGTGGAGTCCGGAATTGGATTTGATCACTCCAACCAACTGAATCGCTGCATTTTTGTCCATCTCCACAATAAGGTCACTTTGGTTCATGAATTTGAAAAAAGATGAAAGGCTTTTTTGTTAATAACAAAATTCTTATTGATCATTGTCATCATACACCATATTCTCTTTCATCAAATATTTTGGAACATTGTTTCTTCTTTTTCTTTTACCAAATATTCGTTATAAGGTTAAAACTAGATCATAATGATTCATACCTTCCATATCTATAAGAGAAACTAGATGAAGGCTTAAGTCCTCTCATTACTGCTGTATGAATGAAACCTGGATCATGCCAGCCGAAGTCCTTGGCTGGACTTGGTAGAGCTGAACCTATCAATTATAAAGGGGACACAAACATGAAAACAAACAGATTAAGAAGACTTTCGGAGTGAAACCCAAATCAGGCCTGTCTGGAGTGAGTTACAGCGTGACCGAGGATTTTGAGAAAATTACCACCATTGATCCTTCAACTTATACAACTAAATTCGTATACACAATTTGTAGGTTTCATGTATATTGATTACAATTCTGTTAATGTCATACTGGTATGTGTACAGCAAAACACATCGATCTGTATGCATGCAAGTAGGAGATGAGGAACTCACTTTTCATATCGTCTTGTGAAAATGTAGTAACTCCTGATGTCTGCTTTTCCCCGTTGCCATATTGCACTTGCTGAGGTTCCTTGTGCCCACTAACCCATGTTACTCTCATCTGCATCATAAGTGAATAATGATTCGTAGCAATATAGAGTATGAAACATATCTAGAAAGATATATAACATTATGCCTAACATTACCCCATAAGTTTAAGCAGAAATTAGGTCCTCATGTACAGAACTAATTAAGTGGTAAATTGTTCTAGTGGTTAGGGTCTTCCTCTTCAACTTATTGGATTCTGAGTTCAAGCCCTCCCCTTAATGTAAATTACTGTAGAAAATCACGTGTACTAAAGAATAATAGGTGAAATTAATTGACAGTTGGAAGCGGGTTAATTACCGATGTACCAGTTGAATCGATGCTTGAGAGATGTCCGTATAATGGCTTGTTCGGATTGGTAAATTTCAGAGGGTTTGACTTCTTGAGAATGCAAGGTGCCTCAAATCCACCGGAAAACAACACAAATTCAATGTCGGTTCTGATGTTGATAACATGAAATGATAATGAACCACCACAAGTGGACACCACGCATCGACCATTCTGATACTTTTTGCATTCCTTCTTCTTGCAGCTGAGATAGTCAGGATCATTGCTCATGTATGCTGCCTACAAAAATTTTAAAAATTTCAATTAAAGGTCAATGTTTATGTTAATTTTTTTAGAACATATTGATGACAAGTCGTTGACAATTACGATTCAAATGATTTTTTTATAAGGATGGTTTTCAAATGAATTAAAAAATTGAATGATTTTGATTATGAAATTTTTATGGTGAATATATGTTATTTGAAGTGGTAGAATGAGTTGTAGTCCATCACTAATAGCATCAATATTGTCCTCGCTTAATCACCCGTGCAATCAATAAGTGTGGAATTTTTATGCAAAAGGTCTCGGTGCAATTAAAAGTAGAACCATTTAACGTATGACATAAATCGACAAAAAAAAAAACATATGATAAATATACGGCCTCACGTAACACATCTCACCATTCAAAATTAATATGAATATCAAAACTTGAAAATTAGAAAATGAGTTAGGACAAAAAAACCAAAAGCCGTCCACAAAATGCCTTGACAAAGGCAAAGGGGATAAACCCTTGGCCGATGGAATTACGCGGCATCAGCTAAGTTGTCCCGACGTCAAAGCAAAAGCCACAGCGTTGCTTTCTACGTGAACGTTATGGGTTCTTAACGCCACTTTGTTAGTAACGTAAAGTTCCACCTTAAAGACAATTATTTGGCCTTGGCTGTCCCATGCTTCTTTCATCACCATATGTGGCCCTCGGTTTTGACTTTTATTTGTTCGGCATTTGTTCGGCATTTGTTCGGCATTTGTTCATTCGAATTTAATGTGATTTCGGTTGCTACCTAAAAATGGCTTTTGTTCGTTCGAATTTAATATTTTGCTTACTACCTAGAAACACAAAATTCAACATTAAATAGACACCGAAAAAAGTAACATTGTTTGTCAAATGAAAACGTGCGCTTGATCCGAAAAGCGATTATTTCGCGACCTAACTGATAAAGGGCAAGTGATGGATTTCAGCACCATCCGGAAGGGAGGAAGCATGTAGGGAAGACTTTAGAAAGATCAACCAGCTGTATCGATTCCTCCAATAGCTGGACTTTGATAAAGAAAGGAAGTGAATTCAGATGCGGATCGATCTAGTGAATGGAGTTTTTCTCTTTAATTCAATGTCTATTGGGTTTAATCCACATCTCTCACTCGTCTAGCTTAGAGTAGCAATATTGCTTGTTATAAAAAGTAAAATAAAATTCTGATTAGGGCCACACGTTAGGACCTGCGTTGTTGCAGAATAGGCACTAGCATTATAGTGTAGTGGCGTTCCTCTTTACTAAGGAACATGTTACTTTAAAACTCTTGTAAACGACGAGTTTAATACAAAACTATGGTATATTCATTCTGTCACGTAGCGCAATCAACTATCTCCAATATCGTTGTATAATTTTTTTTAAAGCAAAAAATTTAGCTCTTTTCTCTCGTACAGAGATCTCATTCTCACTTTCAAATCTCTGAAGTAGTAGTTGAACACGAAAAAATTGGATAAAAAGTTAATGAACTCCACAGGATTCCAACATGTGGCCATATGAAGAGGAGAGTGATTGGTGGCTCTAATCAGTCGGTTATTCTTTGCTATTGATCACAAGGTATCGATCAGATATCAATCCGATACGAAGAAAAATCTTTTGGCCATTCACTCATTCAAACCTAGCTTCTATCTTTTTCTTTTTGGTATAAAAATATGCATAAGAGAAAAAGGTTGATAATTTGTTTACCTTGACAGGATAATGGCAGAGAAGAGGAAGTTTTCCAAAATCCCCGGTTTGTGCATAGAGAATTCCATTGGCAAGGCAGCTTGATATACTGCATATATCCAACATGCATGTGTAAATAAACAACGTGTTAACATCTGAACTATCTAAAACCACCATGAATACTTAGTAGACGATATATTTAACGTGTATAATTTCTAAAACATAATCCACAATTGTATAGAATTCTTACTCAGAATGAGAAGGTGATATCATGGCGACCCAATCATATTTGGAAGGACGCAGGACGCCACTAATATTGACACTCACATATTCTTCATCTCCAAGGCCAGAAGCACTTGAATTAGTACTAATTTGGAGATAAGGGCTCGGATTCGGACAGTCGCCTAGAAATTTTCTGTTAAGAACCCTAAACTCAGATATTGCTGTGTGATTAAGGTGTTCAACTTTGGAGGTGAAAACCAAAGGGTGCAAGGATGATGAAAAAGAAGAGGAAGCAAAAGAACACAGAAACAATATGAACCAAACGAATGAATAATTGGAAACCCTATAGGACCCCATTGGAAATTCAAAGTGGAGCTTTGTGGTTATCCTAAGACAAAGGAACGAGGTTTATATATGCACACATGGTTCTTGCCCTCTTGGTCGTTGGCCTTGTATTTTTCCCCCACTACTTTATCTTTGGTTTCCCACTTGAGTACGTATGAGTTTAATTTGCAAATTTGGATTTACTTTTAAAATTTTGGGGTTTGAAAAGAACGTGGCTTGTTCTATCCATCGTATGACTTTTAACAGAGAGACAGGTCATGAGGTTTAATTTAAAATGACGGTTCCTTCACGCAACGCTGTTTGATTATGTTGATACCACGCAGATGCTGCTGGTTGGTAATAACTAAGTTTAGGCTTTAATGTTGTTTTGTCTTTTTTCTTTTTCTTGGGTAGATAATACATGAGTTAGATGCACATACTCTCTTTGTGAATTCGAATAACATATCTTTAACGCACAAATTTTACAATCGGGATTATTTAGTTTTTAATCTTCATTTGGAGATTCTTCCTACACAAAGTCATTCAAATTGGAAAATCGTTCAATCATTCAAAATCAGATCAAATTGATGATGTAAATACTATAAATAATATAATCATGATGAATCGTCATTATTTGATACATTTTGTTTACGCCCAAAATTGGTGAGGTCAACAATGGTAAAACTGGTCAAGTGTTTGCCTTTGATGGACTTGGGCTTTCAAACAATAAGGAAAAGACAAAGGATTTGAGCGGTTCCATCCTCAAAACTCGGATACATCCTCTGAATCTCTTAGATAAATAGAGAACAAACCTACAAGTAGCCCTTGCCTAGTAGAGTACATGTGACATCCCACATCGCTCAGGGGAGTGATCCTTAAATGTATATTCTCATCCCTACATAGCACGAGGTCTTTTGGGAGCTCACTGGCTTCGGGTTCCATGGGAACTCCGAAGTTAAGCGAGTAGCGTGCGAGAGCATTCCCAGGATGGGTGACCCATCGGGAAGTTCTCGTGTGAGTTCCCAGAAACAAAACCGTGAGGGCGTGGTCGGGGCCCAAAGCGGACAATATCGTGCTACGGTGGTGGAGCGGCCTGGGAAGTGGTCCACCCTGGGCCGGGATGTGACATTTGGTATCAGAGCCTAACCCTGGCCGTGGTGTGCCGACGAGGACGTCGGGCCCCTAAGGGGGGTGGATTGTGACATCCCACATCGCCCAGGGGAGTGATCCTTAAATGTATATTCTCATCCCTACCTAGCACGAGGCCTTTTGGGAGCTCATTGGCTTCGGGTTCCATGGGAACTCCGAAGTTAAGCGAGTAGCGCGCGAGAGCATTCCCAGGATGGGTGACCCATCGGGAAGTTCTCGTGTGAGTTCCCAGAAACAAAACCGTGAGGGCGTGGTCGGGGCCCAAAGCGGACAATATCGTGCTACGGTGGTGGAGTGGCCTGGGAAGTGGTCCGCCCTGGGCCGGGATGTGACAGTACAATTTCTCTCTCATTTTGTCCAACTCATTGAAGGAGTATTCATTCTCCTTATATAAACCTTCTCTGAGTCTTCAGTCTCTTGGCACAAGTCTATAACTTTCTTTGCATTTAATGTGCCAAATGCACAGATTAAACTAGTTATTAGTTGTCCATGCATTCTTTTATCGACACGTGGCAACGAGGTGACATTTACGCAGGTTCACTTGTATCCTTTCATGGGATGATGAGGTCGAGCGTCTTGCTCGGCCTTGAAGTTGGTGGGTGCTCGTACCCTAGAGCCCTACATGTTAGCCTTTATGTCCCTTAGTAGGCCTCTGTTCCTTTGCATGTGGCTCAGAGTTGACATGTAAGTAGGTCTGCTCTTTCATAAGACCTTGTGCCTTAAAGCTATCAGTGGCCACCTTACCTTATAGTGCTTGGAAAGCACTTTATGGGGAAGTGATAGCCTTGATTCCTGATTAGACGCGTGGAGGCCATGGCCTCCTTAAAGCATTCGGCTTCATCGTTCCATGCTCATTAGACCTTAACTTTCCTTTGGGCCTATTAGGGCCAGAAGGACATGCATTAACACATTTGAATGACAAAATAATCATGGATTATAATGATTTTTTGTACGAATGAATTAAGTGATAACTAAGAAATTGAACGGTTTGTACGATAAAAAAAGGTTTTCCGCGTGGGTAAATATGTGCATTCATCCCATAGGATAGATGCAAGTATATATTAACCTTAATAGTTGGAAGCGAGAGAACCGTTCATAAAATCATACCCCGAAAAATACTAGGCCTCGTTTGGCAGCTCGGACTGTACTGACTATTTATGTCGGATAGGATAAATAGCCACCAGATAGTACTGACTAAATTAGTCGGGTGTTTGGTGCAGTATCGGACTAGTGATCGTATTATTTATACTGTGTTTGATATTATACTAGATAGGAGGCATCAAACTTTAAAAAAAAAAAAAATTTAAAAATGAAATCATTTTTTTGTTCCCAGGTCTCTCCGCACCCCCCAAACACCCTCCCACTCTCTCCCTTCTTCTTCCCCGACGATAGAAGAATCCCAAATAATTGTTCCCCAGCTCTCTCCGCCACACCCCCCAAACTCCCTCCCTTTCTCTCCCATATTCTTCTTCCCCGACTAAATAATCCGGACGTTTTGGTTGGTTTTATTAAGCGGGTGTATACCGTATTATCCTATCCAACCGGTTAAATTAATCCGGTGCTTATTTAGTACGAGTGAACGCCAAACACCCGGATCCGTATAACTAATCCTATCCGATCCTTTATCCGATCTGCCAAACAGGGCCTGAGCCTGCAAGATACAAGGACTGCATAGTACTTTGCAACCTCCCCTCTCATATGCGTGCATGATTTCTTCCTATAAATAGCCAAGTTAAATAGAGGAAATCTAATCACTACTTACTAAGAACTTTCTCAAATTATCTTTTTCTCCTTACTACTTTTCTAACTTACAATCAGAGGTCCTTTGGCCACACCTTTCCCGTTTCTTTTGTGAAAAGGTTTCGGTACGTACTTGCTGAAACTTTATTCGAAGATTGTGGGGTGTAAATATATAGTTGCGTTAAGCTGTGTCTCTTTTATTGACTTTCTCTAATTCGAAACAACAGAGAAGGGAAATGAAATTGAAATAAAAAAAAAAAGAAAAATGGACAAAGAGTTCCAATATTTATAAATGTGACCTTTGAAGTTTACTTTAAAAATGTCTGCATTCGTGTAAAAAAAAAAAAAACCCATTCCCAACCAACATAATTTGCCTAAAACCACATCGCCCAACTTAAATCAAGCTTATAATTGCCAAATTTTATGTTGTGGTGCTCAAATTTTAACAGAAGAAGGAGACAAAAATGATATTTTCTTTCAAATTTTATATATTGTAATGCATGTTTGTATTTGTTTGCCCAGTTTCGACGGTCAGATTGATGAAAATAGAGAAGTGACTTTGTTAATCTTCTTAATGAGAGAAGGTAACAATCTGGTAAAAATGAACTAAAGTATGTTAAACTCGGGTTTCACATACAGAACATGTATCTCTGTTTTTATATATCCATCCACACCAATACTCCGGTTCGATTAGTGTAACTACAAAAGCTGAATTCTGTAAATCCAACTTATTGCAAAATTGAATATTTGGTTGGTTTATCTCTAATCTCTAATCTCTAATATTAGAAAGCCAGCAATCAATTTTGGTCTCAAACAAAAAAAATCCAAAACTGACTGAAAATAATAGAAACAAAATAGCAGGGATAATTTTGTCATAAAAAAAATTAAATTAACAAAACGTTAGAAGCAGTTTTCTTCCCACTATCTTGCGAGAAGAACCACACCCGGAGGAATTCTTTGATATTGCACGTATTGGAACTCTTTGACTCATCTCAAGAACCACACCCGTTCTTCCCGGAGGAAAAGAATCAGTTTTCTTCCCGGAGATTATATTTTGGATGCAAAATTTGATGTTTTTGTGATATTGCTACCCAAAACAAGAAGTGATATTAGCAATTCTTTCTCCTCCACCTACTCCCTGTCGCCTTCAGTGCCATCCGGAGGTACCCAACTTTCCAATTTAAAAAACTAGGGTATTTTTCTGGGTTTTTTTTTTTCTGTCAGTTAGTTTGGGAATAGTGACTACCTTACTCAATGGGTGAGATTGTGTGTTTTAAAAGAGATTGGGCATCTATAGAGCCAGGGAAAATCCCCAAGTCCAGTTTTGATTTTTCACTCTTTTCATTTTCTTTTTTCCTTGCAGATTCGTGAAAAGGATTGGGACTACAAAGTCGAATCTCTTCCGTAAGTTTTCGCTTTTTTTTATGTTGGCCTTGTAGTTTGTCACTGATTTTGGTATTTTAGATTGCTTTTTGGGGAATTTAAAGTTACCCAGAAACTCCAATTGCATAATTTGTGGATATAATTTGTTGGTATAATCTTAAATATGCTTTGGTCTTTTTCAATTCACATAATTTGTTGATATAATCTTTATTTTTTATTTTTTATTTTTTGAGGTTTTCAGGATATGGGATTTGATTGAAATGTGTGATTTTTATCGTAAGGCTACAAAATTTTACTAAATTATGCTTCAAGCTATGGAATGCACTTAACTGTGTGTTTTACTACTATGTTTACAGACTCTATACAAGAGCAGGAGATGGAAATCAAAGCGTTGGAAGAAAATACTTGCGGATGACTTCAAAGGTATCTGCTATGTGGTGCTTCTGCAGACCAACATTTGTTATAAAATTTGTTATCTGTTTCATTTTTTATTATTACAGGTAGTGAAATTAATAGGAATGTTCTTTTCTGTTGTTTTCAATATGCCAGAAATACATTCGGGCGAGAGCGGGTTAAATACTTCCAAGAGGTGTTTTCAAATAAAAGTTATCTCCAGTGGTAGGTGTCTCCTTCTCTTGCTGTTTGCATTCTACTGGCATAATTGTTACAATAGCATAATGTCAGGTCGAGAAAGAGTCTTACTCGGTACAACATTTCAACTCTCAATCTTAATCTTTTATACTCAATTCTCAACCTCATTCGTTTTGGTCATGTCAAGCTTAAATAGGGATTACAAACATGGACTATTAATCAGTAGTGGGTATATATGCGTTTCGTTTAGTGGTTTGCATTACTAATATCAATTTCCTGTCTACATTCTGCTCATTTCTTTTTGGTTAAATAGGCTTTGGTGCATTGAATTAGTGGAGCATTTAAACAGAGATACAAACAGAATTACTGCATTACTAAGGTACTTCCTTCATTTCATTATTAATTTGTTAGATGGTAGACAATCGCACAACATGTTTAATATTTACTTTGAATGCCGTTAAAGGCATCACCTTTTTATGCCTACTTTAGAACAAAACTCTAATTAATCTTCACATGAGATAAGACTTTACATTTTTCATACTTGAGTGATTTCAACACCATTGTGATCAATATTAAGCATGTACGTGCTTTTGCTTTCCAAACGGTTGGAGAAGAGTGTTTTAGATTATGTCATGGAAACTTCAGGTGGAGTTATTTTATTTTTTTATTTTTTATTTTTCTATTTTCACGGTAAGTAGAATTTAAAAGGAAGGTCATGCCCAAAGACTTACGTACGAAGGCAAAACACCAAAAACGCAGACGGGAAACCATAGAAATGGTACAACAAAAATAATAGCAAAAGGTGACTGCATGAAGGGTAAGTGACTTGAAGTAAAACTTCAGTCTTGACCCCATTTCTAAAAACCAAGCCCCATAGAAAGATAGGATAGGGTTAACAGTGCAAAAGCAAGTATCGTCGACTTCGGATTTGAAATCAACAGACGAATATGGTATACACAAGGTTGATGTGGAGTGAATGTAGAGTGTGTAGAGTAACTCATGGACATTTTTGTTAGAATACAAAAAAAATAAAAAAACATTTATTAATAGAAAAAGAAAAAGAAACAGATAACTCCTCCTTCATTTTAGGAGAGAGGACAACCAACGTGGGGAGCAAAAATTATCAGGATTAGCACGTTTAGTTTTCAAACTACATAGCAGTTTCCATACAGTCTCACACAACCTTTTTTCATAACTTCTCCGTTGCATTTGTTCAGTTACAAAATTACGATATCACTGCATCACCCTTTTATCATAACTTCTTTTCGCCTCTATGTGCAGCATCGATTTTGTTTCCTTTCTCCACGAATCAAAGGCTTTCAGCGTTTTGTCGACCATGCAATTGAAAGGTACGAAAATTTCTAAATTAAACGAAATCATGCAAATTCCCAATATTTATGAATTTTTAGCCTCAATTTCTCTCAAAAAATTCTTTCGTTTTGTTATTGTTTTTTAGCAGGTCGTGAGAGCTGGTTGCATAGGAAGAAGGATCAATGAAATTGCAGACGTAGTGTTCCAATTAATCCAACAACTTCTCTTCAGTTTTGCTTTTTTTCATTTTGTTGGCTCTCTTTTCAGTGTTTGCTCGGGTTTGTTTCAGTTCCAAATGCAGAAATAAAGAAGAAAAATATAGAAACCAGGTTTTTCCAAACCTTTTGTTTAAATTTCAAGCTATAACTACTCTGATTTTTCCTTCGCATAAGGAAGAAGGATCAATGAAATTGCAGACTAAGTGTTCCAATTAATCCAACCACTTCTCTTCAGTTTTGGTTTTTTCATTGTTTATACAAATAGATGATGATGAAATCACATATTTCCACTCAATTAATTTTTTAAATAATTTTATGGACTTTTTGCAGCAAACTAACTTCTCTGTAATTTTTTTAACACCATGTTTGAATTGTCAACCATGTTTCAAATGTCAGTGTTGCCTCATTTCATTTTTCATTGTTGAATTTCAATGCTATGTTTTCATATTTTTCTTCAATTTTACCTTTATTAAGAATCATCAAATTGAAATTTCAGTTTTAAGATTTTCAGAGGACTACAGCATATCAAGTATGGAGGGAATTGATAGAAGCGATATGTCAGAGGTTGTTACCTTATCTGCATTATTCCTCTTCTGTACAGATGATTTATTTTTTCTTCTTTTTCAAAAATAAAATAAAATAAAATACATTATGTTTAGCAATTTCTCAATGTAGGTTGGCAATGAAGAAGTTGACTTTGGACAAACAAATGTTCACAATTTTCAACAGTCAGACGAGCAATCAACAAAGGCAAAATCATAGGAGCAATCAACAAAGACAAAGATGACAATCTATGAATTCATCACAGCGGGCTCGAATTTCAATACGACAACGTGCCAATTATCAAACCTGATTGAACTCAATCAATATAGTCCAAAATCAAACGGAAGTAAACCAAGAAAACATAGGACCGACATCTGCGTGTAACTATGAATTTTTTTTTTTTTTGTCTCTATTCAATTCATACGTTGTATTAACATTTTTGTACAAATTATTAAGACAAATATATTAAGATTGAACAAATCAGTGATTCTAAGTTGTCATTGCCTTTTTGTACTATCAATGCAAACATCCATTTAATAATTCTGCTATGTCTATAATAATTTCAACATTTGGATTGTATATATTTACCATAGTGACCAACGTTTTAACAAGTACTCCAAACAAGAAAAAATAAAATAAAAAAATAAAAAAAAGAAGGAAAGGAATATTATGTAAACTTGGAATAACAGTTCAACTATAATACTCAAGAGAAAAATATAAAAATAACATCACATAAAGATATAGTACATCGATACTAAATGGAAAAAATTGTGAAGTAAAAAAAAAAAACATGTAGCACATAATTACACAGATGCAAAATCAAAGGAAGCAAAAAGCACAGCCCAAATCAGAGAAATAAAATCATAAATCAATGATTTAGTGCATGAAATTCACTAAATTTTAGTAAACCCTAGATTAAGAGATATTGGCGTTGCATTCATCTTCATCTGAAAACGGCAAGAAGAAAACCACTCTCATCCAAAAAAATGTGTTTTTCTTTTCTGTGATCAATTAAAATAAGCAATACTATTCATCCAAGGTCTGGCATCCAAAACAATCTACAGTTTTTGCTTTTCTGATCACTAAAAGCTACAGACTTTAAAGAGAACATAGCTCAAAATACAAAACATGCAGTTTTTCTTTCTTTTCTTCTTCCTCTGCCACCTTATTATGTGACCTAGGCAGTCTCAATCAAATGAAAATAAAAAAAAAATGTAATGTATACCAATGATTCAATTACAAAAACAAAAGGAAAAAAAATACGTATGTAGGTACTTAAATAATATTCTATGCTTACTAATATTTTTCGTGCACCATTACGTTTCTTGGTTTAGAGCAACAAAATGCATATGTTACTGATGAGACACAAAGCCAACGAGAGCAATGGTAAGATCAAATGAGGCGGAATTCAATGAGTTTGAGCCAAAGACACAAATATTTAGCACGGCGATGATCCAATTATCGTGTTCAACAAATTCAACGCTCAAACATAATGTTATTTGGTGGTGATACCGATAAAGTTCAAAACCCTAACGTAGTGCAATCCGATGAAGGCAGTAGCAATCATGTTGAACGACTAAACATAGTGCCGTTTGGAGAAGGTAGCAGCAATCAAGTTCCAAGAACAATGTGCTTAACTCATATAAGGCAAATTGCCCGATCGAATAGGACACGCTTGCCTCGGGATGGACTAAGACAAAGTTTCACTGATAATGGTAATCGCACAAACTAACATAGTACAACTTTGAAAAAGATAAACATCAATATCATCATTACTGTAAACACTACTTATTACCTTACTTCCATTTCATTTGATTATAACAGAAAATACAACAGCGCAATCGTTCAGTTCGAATACTCCAATGAGTCATTGTTATCCGCCCATCACCAATGAAGGTATCAGTTTTTGAATATTAATACCTACAATTTCAACTATGCTTTCTAAATCATGAAACACCTTTAATGTTTCCTTTTTAAGAAGATGCTTTTAATCTCATTAATGAAAATGAGATCCAGCCTAACGAGGACGTACCACCTTGACATCATACTATGGGAAGAAGGCCAATTCATAATTGTGCTAGAAACTTTAATGAAAACATGGAAATCCCAAGATTTCACATGCCAAATCCAACCACATGTCCAGATTGTCATGCCCGTTTGTTCTCTCATGAAACATCTGAACTGTGTTGCTTACGTGGAAAGCTTGCTCTACCATTGGCACCGTCCCCTCCTGAAATGACTGAGCTTTTTTGCAACCAATCTGCCGAGGGAAGACATTTTAGGCAGAATATATGAGCTTACAACCACATTTTTGCCTTCATTTCAATGGGAGTTCATGTTGACGAAAACCTAGCAACAGGAAGACGTGGTATTTACACATTTCGTGCTCAAGGTTCCATATATCATAAGATTGGAAGTCTTTTGCCTACTAGAGATAGTAGACTGAGATTCCTACAAATGTATATATATGACACAGCTCATGAAATAGACAATCGAATGAGAGAAAGTGAAGCACTAAATAGAGATGTGGTTGAAAAAATCCAACAAATCTTGAATCAATATAATCCATTTATGCAAACATTTCACCACCTTGCGCAACGTCAAGATTTGCAAAGTTATAGATTGATTATCAAAGAGCAGCCCGTGAATCAACGACAATATTGTTTACCGTCTGCATTTCAGGTTGCTGCAATCATAGTAGGTGGTGAAGGATCAGAAAACATTAGAGGTCGAGATATTGTTGTGCAAACTACAGATGGTCAACTTAAGAGTATCAAAGACTGTGTCAGCTACTACGACCCTTTACAATATCCATTTTTGTTACCTTATGGAACATATGGATGAGATGTGAATACTCGAAATAACAACAGCAGAAAAGTGACATGTTGTGACTATTATTCGTATCTTCTTCAGGTAACCTAAGACCTTCATCTCTATGAATACAATATTAATTTTTAAAACTTATATTGTGTTGAACAATAAATTTTATCATTTTAGATCCGTCAACACGACGAATCGCTTCTACTTTGTGGTGGCCGCCTATTGCAACAATATGTAGTTGACAACTACGTCAAGATCGAATCACAAAAGCTTAGATGGATGCGTAATAATCAACACACAATTCGATTTGAATTTTATCGAGGACTGCAAGACTCATTAATTGCAGGACAAAATAATGCAGGTATGAAGCTAATCAGTTTATTATAAAACATATATTCTTCAAGTTCATGTTCGTCACATTAAATGAAACTTATTAAAGGGTTGAAACAAAATAAACATATTTAGACTTATTAACGACTTATAACAAAACAAATATAGGAGACGTCGGTCGTCGTAGGATTATATTACCCTCATCTTTTGTTGGTAGTCCCCGATACATGTATCAAAGGTATCAAGATGTAATGACTTTGGTTCAAAAATATGGAAGACTAGATATTTTCCTAACAATGACATGTAATCCAACTTGGGAAGAAATAAGTGATGAGCTACTATCTGGCCAAGCACCACAAGATCGGCCAGATTTGCTTACAAGGATTTTTCATGCAAAATTTGAAGAGTTGAAGAATGATGTTATAAAAAAAGGTGTTTTAGGCAAAGTTCTTGCATATGTATATGTCATTGAGTTTCAAAAGCGCGGTCTCCCCCATGTTCACATGCTTCTCATGTTAGAAGAAAATGATAAGCTTAATAGTCCAGATGATTATGATCAGGTGGTACAGGCTGAAATACCAAATCCAAATGAAGAGCCTGAATTGTATGGTGCCGTCTTAAGGCATATGATACATGGTCCATGTGGAATACACAATTCACGGTCACCCTGTATGAAACGTGGTAGCTGTAAACGAAATTATCCTAAGCCATTTGCACCAACTACAGTTCAAGGAAATGATTCTTATCCAGTCTATCGTAGAAGAGACAATCATGATCCAATCCCATTATATCATAATGCACGTATAATGGTGGATAATCGGTGGGTCATTCCATATAACTCATGGCTACTCCTCAGATATGATTGTCATATTAATGTTGAGATTTGTTGCAGCATTAAGAGTGTTAAGTATCTGTACAAATATGTTTACAAAGGTCCCGACCGAGTAGCTTTTGAAGTCCATCATGAACCTATTCAAGATGAAATAAAGCAGTTTATTGATGCAAGATGGGTTTGTGCACCTGAAGCTTTATGGAGAATATTCAAATTTGTAACTAATCGACTTTATCCATCGGTGGAACGATTACAAATTCATCTTCTTGAAGGACAAACTATTCTTTACCCTCACCAAAGAGTAGCAGATATTTTGGCAGATGACACTAACTCGATGACTATGCTGATAGAGTTTTTTACCAAGAATACCACTTGCCCGGAAGCACGACAATACTTATACCGGGAATTCCCTGAACGGTTCAAATGGAGTCAAAGAGATAAACTCTGGAGTGAGAGGATGAATAACCATAAAGTTATTGGCTGGATATATGCAGTCTCGCCGAATGAGGGTGAAAATTTCTACTTACGCATCCTTCTTAGTCATGTTAGAGGACCAACATCATTTGAGAATTTAAGAACAGTCAATGACATTGTACAACCAACATTTAAGAAGGCAGTGGAACAACGAGGTTTGCTAGAAGATGATGATAGCATCAGACAATGTCTCTGTGAAGCCATTAACATTCGCATGCCGTTAACTTTGCGAAGGTTGTTTGTTACCATCTTAGTTTATTGTGAGCCACATGAAGTAAGAAGATTATGGGATAAATTTCATTCATTTATGGTGGAAGATTATTCTGTTTCAAGTACCACAAATAATACTTCTATCTTGAACAAGCTTTTGCAAGACTTGAACGGACTATTAGTGCAACATAGTAAGTCTGTATCTGATTACGATTTACCACAAATAACACAAGATTATGTTAGAGACAACACACTTCCAAGGATAATACAAGACGAAGTTTCACTTGACATCTCTAAAGTAGACCTCTATGCGGTACAAAATCTAAATGAAGACCAAACGGCAGCGTATAACTCGATTGTGTCTGCTATTGAACAACGAGACAATGCCATATTTTTTGTGGATGGTCCTGGAGGGACAGGAAAGACATACTTATATCGTGTTTTGTTAGCAACCTTAAGGAGTAAGGGTCATATTATATTGGCAACAACAACATCTGGAATTGCAGCAACCATATTGCCAGGTGGAAGGACAACACACTCTAGATTTAAAATTCCCCTCAGTCCAGATGCATTTTCCACGTGTTCTATTAGTATCCAGTCAGATTTGGCAGAATTGATAAGAAAAACATCAGCTGTTGTTTGGGATGAAACACCAATGGCACACAGATTTGCATTTGAGGCTCTCGATCGAACGTTCAAAGATATAATGGTCGTTGACCTACCATATGGAGGAAAGGTCATAATCTTTGGAGGAGATTTTCGACAAGTTCTTCCAGTTGTTTCAAAAGGTACAAGATCTGAATTGATGCAAGCAAGTATGATTAATGCTTCATTTTGGGAACACGTGAAAATCATTCGTCTTAGGCATAACATTAGATCCATCAATGATCAAGACTTTTCAGAGTTCTTACTTCATGTTGGTAATGGGGAACAAGAAACTATGATAGACAATATGATGCAATTACCATCATCTATGGTCATTCCATGGAATGGTGAAGAATCCATTGTCCAATTGGTTAATGAAGTTTTCTCCCGATTTGGAATGTCATGTATGTGATGCAAGATACTTGGTGGAAAGAGCAATTATAACACCAAAAAATGAGGATGCTGACAAAATCAATAAAATGATCATCGATAAATTTCCGGGGATTGAACATATCTTATACTCTTTCAATTCAGTTGAGGACGATGTGAGAAATTTGTATCAACAAGAATTCTTGAATTCAATCTCACTTGGTGGAATGCCCCCTTATCAATTAACTTTGAAAAAAGGTGCCCCGATAATGCTTTTGAGAAATATCGTTCCAAAGATGGGGTTGTGCAATGGTACAAGACTGGCTTGCCATGGAGCTTACAATAATCTAATTGATGTCGAAATCTTATCTGGACAATTTGCTAGAACTAGAGTGTTTTTACCAAGAATCTCTTTAAAGACCACAGAAAGTGCAGGACTCCCATTCGAAATGATGAGAAAACAGTTTCCAGTGAAATTGAGTTTTGCACTAACTATAAATAAATCACAAGGGCAAACAATACCAAATGTGGGTATTTATCTACTAGATCACGTATTCAGTCATGGACAATTGTATGTGGCTTTATCAAGAGGAGTTTCAGCATCTACAACAAAAGTTTTGGTAAAGAAAGGAGAGTTACACGGTAATGAAGGAGTCTTCACAAGAAATGTTGTGTACAAAGATATTTTGCTTCCCTCGAATTCAACATGAGGTTACATTCTTTCTTTTAATGTTTAATTCCCTTTTTCAACTTTTAATGCAATTCAATTACAAATAATGCTAATATTTGATTTTAACCAAACGCATTAAATTTTCAATAGGACGGAACGATATGAGTTCATGATATGTTTTGCTGTCAAGTGTATCAAGGTCAATTAAATTTCTTGGATTGTTTTTATACTTTTTATTTAACTTTTAGTTGCAACTAAGTTATAAGGATCTTCTCTGTTATTTATTACTTTTTTTTTTTTTTAAATATTCTAGACAAAATACTTTAAATTCCGCCTGTATTATTAGAGATGATAATCACCTTTATTTTATGTTTCTATACTTTGAACCAATCCTCGCATATAACTACATCTAAAATGTGTAAGTTGCGTGTCGTGATTTAAAAAATAGTCTTTCGCACGTGCTTGAGAACATCGTAATAGGCATTGCTGTGTGTGAGAGAGTATCCACATTAACAACTTCAAATTTATTGCTTCCAATTAGGTGCAGTCATCATCTAGATTTCATCCCTCACCTCCGTACTTGGTATCATAGTTTCTAAAGCATATACATTGACAACCACAATGGAACAAAACTAACACAATACACATTTAGGGGCGCGTAGCGTCCGTGATGCAAAAATGTCTCTCGCACGCACGTTAGTGCGTGCAGAGAGGCTAGTGTTTTATAATCCATGAAATACTGTGACGTTTTATTTTTTTTTAATTTCTTTTGTTTTGCCAATGAGTACTATGATATAATGTTATTCTTTTCTACTTGTAAGTATAAGATTTTATGTTCGAATCTCGTGGATGACTAATTCGATATCAAATTAGGTTGCCCATTGTGTGGCTTAACCGAAAGCCACTACGAGTGGATGATGAATTCGATACCAAATTAGGTTGCCTATTGTGTGACTTAACCGAACTCCTTTGCCCATAGTGTAAAAATATCGATGTATTAAAATAAAAATTTTCTTTTGTGTTTGATTCTGGAATTTACTGCAAAACTTTGGGCCTAACAGTTCTAACGCCTTGGGCCTCCAATGACTAGAAGTCCATCATTCTCTGGGGCCTATCTTCGTCGGCGAACCCAAACGACGCGCCAAAGAAGACTGCGCCGGCGACGAAAAAAAGGAAACCGGTACTCAGACGCAGAAGGTCGAGACTAAGGCGTAGCGGCATCCCAAACGCCGTCGTTCTCGCCCAGTTCGATCCCGCATCCGTTTCTCTCCAATCAGCTGGGATTGCTCCAATTCCCAATCAGATGTGGGTGAGAGAGACCATTTGGTTTTCTTAGGCAAAAATCGAACTTTCTGATCAGAATTGCAATTTCAGGTCAGTTTTTCGACTGGGTTTTTTCAGAATTCAATTTTCTCATCTGGTTTTTTCAGAATTCGTTTTAGCTACATGCCTACTTTTTGTCGAATCATGAAAAAGTATGTGCTTTCTGGTTATTTTGCAGGGATTTTAGCGTCATTAGTACATTAGGAAATCCAAAGCAAAGGCGATGAACAAAGGCATAAGCAGAAAACGGCCAGCGCCGCCACAACCGGCGGCGAACCCAGCCAAGCAGCAGGCCACGTCCCCAGAAGAAGAAGAAGAATTCGTAGACGAGGACGTCTTCCTCGACGAAACCCTTTTCGAGACTGAAGACGACCTTGTTCTCCGCGACATCGAGCAGCGCCAGTCCATCGCTTCCCGCCTCACCAAGTGGGCCCGCCCGCCTCTCTCCCATGCCTACACTTCCGCCTCCCGAAGCGTCGGTCTGTCAGCCTTTTCCAATTTTGCTCCATTCTCTATTTTTATTTTTAGAACTTGTTAAAATCTCTTTCTTTCCTTGTTGTGTGTTGTAGCTTTTCAGCAATTGGAGATTGATTATGTAATTGGAGAGAGCCATAGAGAATTGCTACCTAATTGGTCCGGGTCTGCTGCCATTATCCGAATTTTTGGGGTTACAAAGGAAGGTTAGCTTGTGCTCCTAATTTCTTTTAGGGTTATTATTCTGCTGTGAAAATGTGAAAATGTTTGGTTGGTGACTGAGAAACCTGAATAAAACTGTAATTTTGTATTACTATAGGATCAGCATTGTTGTTTCGGTCAAGCATGTTGGTTATTTGTTCTCAGAAATGCAACTTTTTACCAAGTATTCTATGTTGCTTCATGGGAATCAAATGTGCTACTAAACTAAACTAAGTTAATGCATTTTCTGACTCTGATAAGTTGTTGCATCATCCTAGGACATAGTGTTTGCTGCCATGTTCATGGATTTGAGCCATATTTCTATATCAACGGTTTCCCCGGAATGGGCCCTGACGATATATCCAGGTTTCATCAAATTCTTGAGGTATTGTTTTGACTTTATTTCTTGAGCAGCTCAGATGTCTTTGTTTTTGTTATTGCATTACTTTAATTGGTTATGTCTTTTGTGTTTGGTAATTCAATAGGGGAGGATGGGGGAGGTCAACAGGAACAGCAAGGTACCAAAATTCATTCGCCGTATTGAAATGGTGCAGAAGAGGAGTATCATGTATTACCAGCAACAGGATTCTGAACCCTTTCTCAAAATTGTTGTTGCTTTGCCAACAATGGTGGCCAGCTGCCGGGGTAAATTCAGTTTCACTAACATTTGATAACATGTAGGATCTGAATTACTTTCTAGATTGAAACACCTACATGCAGGGAAATGCATTTTATGGGTGATTACCACATATATTTCTTTGACGATAATTGTTCTCCAACTTCTTTCATGTCTTTCTTTGTGTATCATTGTACTGATCCAAATTACTCTTTGTAAGGACTATATTTGGAGGAGTGCTCATATTGTGTCTTGCACCTTGCATGTCAATGTGTACTGCAATGTTTCCAACTTTCCATCATGTGCCTTATGCCTAATAATGGTTTATTCCTCTTCTATGCTTTCCCAAACTGCCAGGCATTCTTGAAAAGGGCATACAAATTGATGGCCTTGGTATGAAGAAATTCATGACATATGACAGCAATGTTCTTTTTGCTCTTCGTTTCATGATTGATTGCAACATAGTTGGTGGAAATTGGATTGAGGTCCCTGCTGGTAAATATAAGACAACTAAGCCTTTGTCTTACTGCCAGTTAGAGTTCCATTGCCTGTATCCTTACACATTCAAGGAACTATCTGGGGTTTGGTGAACAATTTAATGAATGCCATTTACATTATGAGCTATTTCGTACTTGGTTTATCTTTCCTTGACAAACCATTTTCTTAGATATTTAGACTTGATCAGCCATACTCCAGAAGGGGAATTTTCGAAGATGGCTCCATTTCGCATATTGAGCTTTGATATTGAGTGTGCTGGCCGTAAAGGTCATTTTCCTGAGCCTACCCATGATCCTGTTATCCAGGTTCAGTTCTTTTCATTCTGAGTATCTGAAATAAAATGTCAAGTGATTTTCATGTTGCATGGTAAATATTTTATTTTTAAAGAACTGTTTCTGAAACGAATTGCTTTTTTTCTTCATTTTATAGGTGGCCAACCTAGTTACTATGCAGGGAGAGAACCAACCATTTATACGGAACGTCATGACTCTTAAGTCGTGCGCTCCAATAGTTGGTGTTGATGTGATGCCTTTCGATACAGAAAGGGAAGTCTTGCTGGCTTGGAGGGTAATATTATTGAACCCAAATATTCTTCTTTACTTAAAATAGAAAGGGGAAAGAAACCTTGTAATTTTGATGCAACACTATTGTTAATTGACTAAAATGTATTTTTCTTTTGGGCTAACTACATTTTACACCCTTTAAGTTTGATAAGCTAAAAACACAATCCGTTTTATGTTTGTACTCATTACAAAGTCCCTATATCCAGTCATCTGATATCATCCTACTTGCATACCATGTGATCCTTTTCATTTTTTCTGTAGATTTTATGTCATCATTACCTTCATGTCTCTAACTCAATTGTATCTGTGTCCAAATTTTTTTGTCTAATTTGTTCTTTAGTGCTTTTGATTTTTTCATCTGTGGCCATTCATAATGACAGATTTATGAAATTTTTTTGAATATGTTGTGCCAAATATCTCCAATCATCTATCAAGACAATATGTAATTCATTTTCTTCAGTAGGGACATTATTAATAAAAAGAAATTATACCAGAGGGTAAGAGCCGTCTTTAAAAATGTAGATTACTAGATGCATCTCTACCTAAAAGGAATACTAATTAGAGTAGAAGCAAAGAACTAAGAGCGTCTCCAACGGAGATGTCAATGGATTTTTTAGGCGTTTTCTATTTTCTCTGCATGAAGATTTAGATGCTAACCTAATTACTAGGCTACTGCCATTCACATGTTATGCACAAAA